TGTTGGTGAGATGAAAGGGAAAATTTTGGGGTACAATAGGCGTGTATGGAAAGACTAATAATCAAACGTTAGCAAACTTAACAAAAAGACAAAAATAACTGAACATAACACACTTGCACATATATACCTCTAGGGTACCCCACTTTGGTTGCCTTTAGAAATAAAATAGTCATGAGACAGGAACGCTTTAGCAAAGACCCGTAAATCAAAAAGATTATAGTCCCTCGATGACCCTACAGTTGCCTTCTCGGTAAATGATCTAGTCCGTAAACAAAATTGCTAAAGTGTCTCCACAAGTTTCCTTTGTGACTATAACGTCCCTTCGAATGTCCCTCATACATCCAACGATAGGGCTACCTACTCACTAATAGTAGGATAGCACTGTCTAAAGGATAGGAGAAAAAGAACGACCCTTTTCGAGTATAAAAGTATGTAGTTGTTAGAAGTTTGCTCAAAAAACATTTTTGCACTTACACAAATACTACTTTTTTAAAAAACAATTTTCAAAATATTTGCTTTGTTGACACTCTTGAGGACTGATACAAGAGTTAAACCCAAAGCAAATTGCCGCACTAAGGCATTTTCAAAACAAACTTTCAAATACACAAAGCATAAAGATATTTCAAAATGAGAAAACTTCTAAGAGTCCGTAGATAACTACAGATGGAAAGGGTGCTAACACCTTCCCTTTCCATAATATACCCCCCTTACTCAGAAAACTCTCGAAAAGGTCTTTTTATGTTCTTTTCACCTTTTCCTTAATTTGGATAATAGAAAAGTCGGTGGCGACTCTTACTGCAACATTTGCAAACACAAACACAAAACCAGTATTAAACAGTCGGTTCTGCCACCGTATCACAGAACTGGCGACCCTGTTGGGGAATACAAAAAGTGGGGTTACCTTAGAGTTAGTTCATTATTTAACTGCTTTTGTGTGCTTTGTTTGATTTACTTCTGAGGGCTTTGTTTGGGTTACTATAGATCCTACACCCGGATCTGGGGCACCTTTTAGGTAAGTAGCATACCTTGTGAGTTGAAAAATAAATTCAATTATTGCCTCTGAATTCGTATGAAACCCCTCTGATCTTGTTTGCTAAGCTTCAATGGAGATAAATGGGTGAAGATGAGAGTTCTGGAGCAGAGGAAGTATCAATTTTGAAAAAGAGAAAATTGAGACGTGAGGTGTTGTTTTCGTGCAGAAGCTTTTTTTCTCTTTTTCAAATGAGAGTGAAGTGTACTTATATAGAGCCAAATAAGAGTGTTGAAGAAGATTTGTTAAGGGTATAAAGGACTATTTGCTTTAGGAGTCGTTGGAGGGCTTCTTTGGCATTTCTGAAAAATCTAACATCTTGCAAGCAAAGCCATGCGTTTCATGTTATTTTTGATTAAGTTTGTAGTCATTTTGGAAGGAAATGAATGAAACGTGAATGGTTACCTGGCTTATATAAGCACATGGGAGAGTATATTTTGTGATGCAAAGTTTCCAAATATGGCAAAGAAAACTATCTCTCGTGCTTGGCATGTGCATAGGGTTGTCTAACCAAATGAGGTAAGGAAAGGCTGTAAAAATACGTGGGAATGATGTGCACAAAAGCTCATGTAGAAAAAAATCCAATTATGCACGTGATTCTGATGGTTGGTGACTGCATGCATGTTTTATGAACAGCTTGACCTAAACTCAAATTTCTCTAAAATGGCTCATGCGTTTTTATAATTATGGAGGCCTTTAGAAAGCTCTCATGATGAAGATCACCATAGGATTTTGAATTTTTGAAAATGATGTCTGGGTCATGAAGAAAAGTTGGTGTGAAGTTAAGAAAAAATGGGACCTGTAGGCCTAAGCGCGCGCGACGTGTCTATGTGTTGGGCAAAAACTTAGTTTCATGACCTCTATTTCTTATGGTCATATCTTCCTCATTTTTTGCTCAAATGAGGTGATTCAAAGACCCACATGAAGCTTAAATATCCCATTACAAATCAGTTTTAACCATTTTTCAAAATGAAGCCTAAATCAAGAGATATATCTTCATGAAAATGGCACACCATGTGTTTGTGAAAATGCTGGTTTGAGCGTGCAAGGATGCCTAGTCATGTCCCAACTTTGTGCCTTGAACTTCTAAGTTGAATAACTCAAAATCCCTTCACTTTTTGGATGTAGACACACATTGACAAAGTTGTAGAACTTCTCATAATCTTTCCAAGCATGTATAGTTGGCTTCCATTGGATAAAAAACGAGAAAGTTATAGATGCCCAAAGTTCAATATTATAGGGACTTGAAGACTTGAAATTTTCTAAGTATCCAAGTAACTTTTTGAACAAGTTATCTCCAATTTGACCGTTTCTCTTGATTTTATAACACCAATGCTCATGAAATATAAAAATAGGATACTTGAATTGGTAGTTGACTAAAAGTCCACTTGGTCAACTTTGTTAACCTTTGGTCAAAATGACTATTTTTCCCCTTTTGATCAATTGAATCTTTTCCAATCAAAATTGGCACTCAATCCTTCAAACACGGGAGTTTATTAACATGTAGAGAGGCACCGAATCAAGTCTTTCCCAAAAAGTGAGAGATTTCTTGATTAAATTCAAAATCCTAATTTTGACCCCTTGTGCTAGGAGATGATGACCAATCTTCAAAACCCTCATTTCTATGGACAAAATGAGAGATTATTTGAACAAAGATGCTTCACATGATGATGAGAAGATGATACTTCACAAATTTGAATCCTACAAGCCTCAAACTCTTCAATTTGTCAAAACCCTAATTTTGAGAGATGAATAGGAGAAAATGTGATTCAAGAGTCAACAATTGCAATTTTAAACTTCTGATGAATCAAAGAAACAATTGAGATGTCTTGGAGTATGAAAAACTCTTGTAGCTTGTGAAACTCAAAGATTGAGAGTATAAGACCTTTCTTGTCCTGATTGTCAATATAATCAATTTTTCAATAGCTTGTAGAGTAACTTAGGAACCTAGATACCTTGATCCTATCATGATAATGCATGAGTATGTATGATGAACACAAGCCATGTAAGATAAAATGAAGAGGGAAAATTTTGGGGTGCAACAATATTGACCCAAGATGAATGTCTTGCTTATCCCTCTGACGGAAGCCCCTTTATATAGTCCTTCTATTGCTCCTTTTAAGAGCTTCATTTAAGAGGTGTCCTTCTATATTATTTCATTTCCAGACGTTCATAACTGACGCCTCCTACCATGAATGGGCGTATTAAAGCTACAATAATGTTCGTATTTAACCATTCGACAATCGTTATGTTTTATGTTTGGGGTCGGGTTCCTAATCAGCTATGTAGTACTAGGTCCCGATCGTGGGCATTTCCCGGCCACGGTCCTAAGAAGAGTTGTTACCCGGGCGAGATCATTACCCGGCTTCCAGCTATGAGGGGTTGGTACTCGGACGAGATTATTACCCGACTTCCCTGTATCAATATAGTCGTTTATATCTCTTTATTCTTGCTCTTGATGACTTTATAACCCGACTAGAGTAACTATTCCTGGGATGTACACCTGTAAAAGCTCTAAATTACAGTCAAATCTCAAGAAGACCTCTTGAGAACAGGAGTAGGTCAACTTTCGGCTAAACCTGAATAAATCACTAGTGTCATCTCTTTAACCCTTATCTTTTCATTTCTATAATTAATTTTACTACCTTTACTTTCCGATACTTTTTATTTTGATCAATACTAACACAATTTGCTTCTTACATAACAAAAACTTAATTGTGAATTTTGAATACCACAATTCAACCCTCATTCTTGTGCTTGAAGTCATTTGTTCAACAAGTGGCATCAGAGTCTAACTCTTGTTGAACATTGATAGTCCCAGGAGGAAAAATAACTTCAAGATATTCTCTAAACAAATCTCCATCCTTTAATGGAGAAGATTATAGTTAGTGGAAAGAGAAAATTAAGTTTTTCATAGAAGAGATGGATCGTAAAATTTGGAAGGCAGTAAAGGAAATATTTGTTCCTGCACAAGATGTTGGTGGTCTTGTAGTAAACAAATCGGAAAACGGTTGGACCAAAGATGATAAAGAAAATATGCAGTGCGGTTTGAAAGCAAAAACTGTCATCACTACAATTCTCGGTCTTGATGAATTTTTTGTAAGATTCTAAATACGAGACTGCAAAAGAAATGTGAGACATCCTACAAATTATCCATGAAGGAACTACTGAGATAAAGAGAGTAATGTTGGGAACATTAACCCATGAGTATGGACTTTTCATGATGAAACCTAAAGAAAACATAAATCAGATGTAAATATGGTTTACCCATATCGTGAGTCATATGAGAACTCTGAAAAAATAAACATTTTCAAATGAGGAATTAATTGTAAAAGTTCTTAGATACTTAAACCGTAACTGACAACCAAAAGTCATTGTGATTTGTAAATTTTAGAATCTAACAACTATGGACACACATTGTTTGGGAAATCACGGAAACACAAGATGAAACTAAGAAAAGTATATATGATGACACTAGAGCTTTTTTGTAAAACAAGGAATTAGGGATTTAAGAGTGTTGCCGGTGTTCATAAATCACACCTTATACACAAATTTACCAAAATCTTTTGTTTCATCACTTGAAACATTGAAAGTTATGTTACAAGATCGTAATTTGTTTGAGTATTTTAAAAAATAAACAAAACTCAAGTAAACTCTATGATTGTGAAGAACAATACATGTCTGATTGCTTTGGACCCATAAGCTTTAAAAGGGAAGGGATCCTTGGCATTCTATGTTTACTATCTAGACCAATCTCTCTCCCTAATAAAGGCTGATAGTTCCTAATAAGATGTGTGTCAATAATTTCTCTATCAATAAACACAATTATAAATCCTACGTAGAACACATAAACATGAAATCAAATTTTTTAACTCATAGAATATGTCATGTTAAATACTAAAAACAGTTATGAATTACAAATCTCTGTCAAGTTATATAGTGACACATACTTAATATGTTATATGTTATGTTAAATATTGTTTACTGTCAGACCAGAATCGTAAGTAACACCAGTGGCAGGTAACCAACGATCCCCATCAATAAATTGAGCCACAGTGTACTTAATAGCTTCGTTCGAATCATTCAACACATGGTATCCCGACCATCTCACTCTGTTAGTGACTACAGCACCCGGTCCAGAGTTCATGTATTCACCGTAGTACAATGTGTCCAAAGCAAAACTTCCGGTCCACTCTAACCACCCTTCTGGCTTTATCGCGTCACTCATGTAGGATTGCATGAAAATTGTCCGCGAGTACTTCCTCCAGGGTCTACCAAGGTATGTTGGGTTAGTTAGGCCGCTCTCTCCTGAAATGTTGCAAAATTGGAAGGAGAAACCGGTTGGTTGCGTCGGATATTGTCGTCCTTGAGCAGTAATAGTGTTCTCTTGATCAGGCTTTCTTTTCCTGGCTACTATTTGGCACTTCTGGAACACTGCTGTTGCGTCCCCAAAGATGAAATCCACCGTACCAGTGATTTTGCACTCTCTATAGAATTGACGCATGCTGTGGGCGTATAGGCTGTCTTGATAACCGTATATCCCACACCGATAAAATGCAGAGAGATCAGAGCTTGATCTTAATGCCACTGCTTGGTGCTTCTCGGGACCTGCGGTGTTCTGAAATGAAACGTCGCGGGCTATGAACCCTCTACCCTTTACAGCTGCGCATGAAGAATAAAATGTAACTTATAAAAAGCAAACGCAAAAAAAAAAATTAACATTGAGAGTATGAACGTTGTAGTAATCATACCAAAGGTAGCTGATTTGAAAGTTGTAGTACCGTCGACTTTACTGAGACTACCGGAGATAACAGTAGCATCCATACCATCTCCGATGATCATAATATTCCACTTCTTCTTATCAATCACCACATTCTCAACATAAACACCTGTTTTCACATGTATAACATATCTTTTATTGCTCTTTTCAGGTGCTGCCGTTATGGCGTCCATCACGGTCCTGTAACTCCCACTTCCATCAGCTGCCACAACAGCATCCGCATTCACTTTATTTGCATGTAACAGATTCACGTCGTTGTCATTAATCCATGAAGGAAAACGATCCGAGCCAATATCGGTTGTGAGGTGATCATTGAAAGGTATTACTTGATCAAGAAGATTCTTCACCACTGATTTTACATGATCAAGACGAGTGGATACAAGAGCCTTCACATTTGTACCCTGTAATCCTTCTATACATGTGTCTGGATTCACAAGAACAGCACTCAGCCATGTTCTTAGATCAGAGTTTACATTTCCAGTACTATTATCCTTCCCTGTATAACAAAACACATTAAATATATATAAAAAAAACAAAAGATGTAATAACAGATATTAATACTACCATTGGGATTTTGAATGGCGGAGATGGACCAATGAAGATTTTCCGTGGACAAATCAACTAAATCGAGGCAATCGGAAATAGCATCTGAGACACGAGGGTGGGCGGCATTAACGTTGAAGCGTGATAAAACGGTGGTGACCTGTTGAAGATTGGTGATAACTTCTTTGGCAGAGTTAATGAATTGGATAGGAGAAGCTTTGAGCAAGACTGATCCATAGAAATCAGTGGAAGCAGAAGCACTCAAGTGTGGGAGAGAAAGTACGAGGAAGAAGAAGATGCATGTGAATAATGTTTTTGCTGAATAGAGAACCATTTTTACAACTTTGAAATATAACTCACACTTTGATACTGTTACTAAAACTATGCTTTTGGTTTATTTATATTATCCCAAGAGAAAAATAAAAGGAATGAAAATATTAGAGATTATTTAAAGGCAACAAAGGAAGGGAAAGATTGGAGATTATTTAAGTATCTTTAAAAACGTTTTTTTTTTAATTATAAACCTTTTGTTATTTTTAAAAGATGTATTATCATTAGTTGGTATTTTTTTGTTATCTCCTTTACTATTATTGATTTAAAAAATCTCATTTTATTATTAACTAAGTTAAAATGTGCATAACTTGATATTAATTTTGATAAATATAAAATTACTTAACTCTGCATAATCAGCATCTTTTCTACTAATTATAAAGATTGTATTGCATTTTGAAATTGTATTACATCCTTAAAATAACAAAAATGATGGTTACAAAGTCGATCTCTTGGCTAAACTTCTATGCTAAAAAACATAAGAATTGATTTTTGAAATTTTTTTCTAATTAGTTATTATTAAATATTGAATATCCGTGAATGGTTTGATTAAATAATAATAATTTTATACGTGAATGAATTGATTATAGCTTATATGAATAATAAATAGTAAATAACTGATTATGTCAATGTTTATTTTATTAATTAAATAATTGACCTAACGTTTATGACAGTATCTCATTAGGTAATTAAATATTTATTATTTAATATTTTGATTACTTTGAAACAATATTTGGAGTTTTTTAGATACACACATTTTATGGGGGTTTATTAGAGAATCAATTGTAATTTTAAATTTCACATTATAAAATATTTGTAAACAATTTTTTTTTGCATGATATTCTTTAATATATTTTATGATACTCTGAATTATCTCAATTTCTTAATTTTATGCGTTATAAAGTAGTTGGTTTAAATTATATTCCATAGTCAACTATTTTAATATTTTATAATTTTTTAATAAATTAAAATTACACAAAATTTCCTTACAATAACCAATTTAAAAATACTTACTAATTTTAAAAGAGAAATATTTAGTCGGGCACAAACTCATTAAGTTTTTTTAGGCGCACACACATAGTTATATAGTGTCATTTAATTATTTTAAAATGATATATTATTTAACTTTTTTATTTTTTTTCTTTTTATTTTAATGTGAGTATTTCTATATCTTGTGCCTATATACAGCACTGTCTCATTTTAAAATTTGAGGATATATACTATATTACATATTTTATTTTTATTTTTTAGCCTTAAATAATCTTGGCAAAATTTCTTTATAATATAAGCAAAAACGAATTTTTGTTATTTTTTCAGTGTTAAGAATTTAAAAAAATTAGATTTATTTTTATTAATTATCACATAAAATATCATTTATGGAGTAAAAATTGAATCCACTAACATGTTATCCATTAAATTCAACTCATCCAATCTATCCATTACATGGATAATTAATTAATTATATTCAAAACATCCCATTAAAATATATAATTAATCAATTGCATTTTTTTATATAATTTAAACTCATTGGATCATTTTTATAATTAAAAAATATATATATAAATATAATAATTTAAAAAACACACAAATTTTTTCTCTCTTTTTTATTGTTATTTTCTTAAAATAAATTTTATTATAAAAATTTATTTAAACATATATCTCTCGCTTAAAACAATTTAAAAAAAACTAATTTTAAATAAGATAATAAAGTGTACTTCTAAAAAACTGAAAGAATCAATTGAATTAAAATAAATGGAGGTTAAAACTATTTATATGAGAAAAAGCAGTTAGTAATATTAAACATGAAATGAAACAAATCAGTTTATACGCTCTTCGAAAATATAAGTTACTAAATTAATCTTCTTAATTCTTAAACAAAATAACAACCAATTTAATAACTAAGAAACGCAATCAAAAGTCTTAAAATAGTTTTTTGAACCTTACAAATAAAATAATAACTGAATTATATCCAATTAAAATTAACGTTTAGAGGGAAATTACGAGATAATGTGAGTTTTTTTGTTGTTTGTTTTTTTAGATGTATGTTATATGTTTTTTTTTTTTAAATTCAATTAAATTGAATTAATGAAAATAAAATATATAATATTGATATAATTTTAAATAGCATTCAAAAAGTATTTTAAGAAAAAACTATATAATTTTGAATGCTATTGATATATTTTAAAATAATTTAGATTTTTATAAAAAGTTTAATAAAACAAAATAAAATCAATTGAAATTCTATAATTTTTTAAAACTTATTAAATAACTAAAATTTATGAGAATCTTTTCAATGGTAATCATGATAAAAAATATTAAATGGTAGTCATGAAAATTTAATGATAAATGGTAATCATAAAAAATTAATGATAAAAAGTAAAAATTTAATGATACAATTATTTCTATAAACGGAATAAGTTACAAATATTTTTATACAAGAGAATAACTCACAAATATTTTTATAAATGGACACACGAGTTCAATGTGTTTATAAACGCAAAGAAAGTTAGAATAACTTTATAAACGCGAATAAGTTACAAATATTTTTATAAAGGATAAAAATTGAAGTATTAAAACAATTATTTTTAACATGAATAAATTAAATTTTACTTTATAAATTATCACACGGGTTCAAGTCCCTTATAAACGGGAAAAACTCTATATGTTGATATAAATATTTTTATATACGGAAATAAGTTACAATAATTTTTTTAAACTAGAATAAGTTACAAATATTTTTATAAACGAAAAAAATTCAATTTACTATTCAATTATTATTATAAATCGGAATAAATTACAAATATTTTTTTATAAATAGACACACGAATTCAATGCGCTTTCTATGTTTGTAACTATATAAATATTAATTAACTGAATAAATATATACAAATTTGATAAATGAGAGTGAGAGACGTATAATGTGAATTCAGACGGTAACCGTATGATAGCACGAGTTTCTTATTATTTAATGTTGTTAATTTCATATTAATTTCTAATGCACCGGTTTTCTAAACGTCGTTTTTAAAGACTTTTCATTGCTATTTTCAGAATATACTATTTCAAATTATTCTATTTTTTTTCTTATATATAATTAATGTTTTTTACTAATTCTAAATTATGACACTTAAATTACATTTTTGCTAACTCTATAGTTTTCTTCTATTAATTGTTTCTTATTCAATTCTTATATTATATAATTTAACAATAAAGACTTAATACTCTCTTAGTCAAATATATTAATCTAAGATTTCTTTTTTATTTCTCATTTTATTTCTCATTTTATTTCTCAATTTAATAGCCGTAGATTGTTCATCTTAATGAAGGACTTTACAGGCATAGATCCACAGGTAAATATGAACGTATCTATAAATATCAACCGTAAACTGTTCATTTTAATGTTCATCTTTTAAATCTTTCTTTTGCTACTGTTTTATATTAATTCAGTATAGAATTCATTTTTGACTAAATTGTAGAATCTTTTTAATAAAATCAAATTAACATTAAAGATTTAATACTCTTTTGGTCAAATATATTAATATAAGAGTTCTTTTTATTTCTTAATTTAAAAGTTGATGCATATTATTAATCTATATTTGTAACTATGTGAATGTTAATCAACTAAAAAATATATTCAAACTTGACAAATGACAACGTATAATGTGAATCTAGACGGGACCCGTGCGATAGCACGGATATCTTAGAGCATAAATATCATTGTTTTTTTTAAGAAGTATATAATTTTTCCTATTTGTTCATGCAGACGTGATTTGTTGATAGGACCGACGCTTGCTACAAATATGGAGTTAAATGCCAACATGGTTTACATGAGACATATACTCAACTGAAAACATGGTAACATACTTAATAATTTAATAATCTATAAATGTAATGTGAATCCAGACGAGACCCGTGCGATAACACGGGTTTGTTACTAGTTCTTAAACAAAATAACAACCAATTTAATAACTAAGAAACGCAATCAAAAGTCTTAAAATAGTTTTTTGAACCTTACAAATAAAATAATAACTGAATTATATCCAATTAAAATTAACGTTTAGAGGGAAATTACGAGATAATGTGAGTTTTTTTGTTGTTTGTTTTTTTAGATGTATGTTATATGTTTTTTTTTTGAAAACCAGACCAACAAAAATCTCGGTTCAGAACAACACAAAACTAACCTAAATTATTAGATTTTTTTGTTAGGCCCAATTGTCACCGGCATATCCCCACCATCATTGTTTCTCAAAAGAATCCTAGCCAACTCATGTACCTCATAGTTGTTATCTCTGTTCGTATGAAGAAACATGATTTTCTTGAAATTATTCTTCATCTTTCATATGCAGTTGCACACGATTCCTCCGTTAGTTTTAGGTATGTCTTTTTTTTTACTGTAACGCGTTGGGAGAATTGACTTCGGATGTTTTGTGTTTGATCGCAATTATAACGGATATCAAGAGTCGTCACCGACTTTTCTTTTATCCAATAAGAAAAGGCTGAAAAGAACAAGAAAGACCTTTCGAGATTATTTCTTGAGTTCGGGGATAGATTATGTTAGCAGCGTTTTCATCCATATTTATCTATGGGCTCTTAGTTGCTTGCTAGATCACTTGCTTTTGTTTGAAAGTGTGCTTTGTGGTGTGGTTTTGAATGTATTTTGAAAATGTTCCTTTGTAATGATTCTCGTCTCTATAAGAATGCATACAAAGTGTTGTTTGGAAAATAGTTCAAAGAAGTGTTTGTTTTTTAAAGTGATTTTCAAAAGGTGTCTTTGTAATGGTTCTCGTCTTTATGAGAACACATACAAAGCATTGTCTTTTGAAAATGTTTCAAAATGAAAGTATCAGTGTATAAAATGTTTTTGTTGTGAGCAAGCGAGCAACTAGGAGCAATCTACCTACTCAAAAGGTCTTAGACGTTCTTTTCCTCCTTCTTTAGATGTTGCTATCTTACCATTGATTTGGTAAGAAGCTCCATCATTGGATGTGAAGGGACGAGCGTGGGTCA